AGTGCCGGAGTGCGGGGTCAGTGTAGCCACCACTGACAGGCACCACAGGGCCCTCGCCGACTGCCCCGCTCCAGCCTCGAACTGGTGCTGCTGTGGCCCTGGCATGTGTCAGACAGGCAGGGAGACAACGGCCAGTGTTGGCCCTGCGAGCAAATGCTAATGCCTTGCCTTGCACGGCTGCTCTTCCTCAGTGCTTTGATAAAGAGCTGCTATCACCATTGCACTGTACTGTGCAGGCGTTCTTACAAGCTGTGGCATTTGCTTATCATTTTGCTATGGCTAACCTTTCATTTACAAATTAGAAAAAATAGTGTACTCTGAAATAGCTGAAATTATACTACACAACACCATGTTTTATTATCATTATTATTAATATGGTTTATTTGGTTTCCAATTTATCCAAGTAAAATAATTGTTTGTGGTCATATTTTTCTATGATTTTATTACTTAAGTTTGTTGTTCTGTTGATTATTTTGTTTTTTGTTAAGCAACCGTAAAACAGAATAATAGTAATAATTGTAAACAAAGTGGAAAACTAACCTCTGAACTTGAGTTACCAAAGCACAGTAAATATCAAAGTTAGTATATCCATTTTTGATCTGAAAATTGAATTGTAAATTGTGTCACACTCCAGAACTGTTGCAACCGATTTCGCCCGGCTGAAGAGGGACATGAAATTCCCCATTTTATTGCTCTCTCTCGAGTGTAGCCTCTCTCTCTCACTCTCTCTCTCTCTCTCTATCTCTCTCTCTCTCTCTCTCTTTCTCCCCCTCTTCCTCTCTCCCTCTCTCCCCAGTCGATAAGACTTGAGCTGAGCGTATGTGAAATATTTATTCAGCGTTAGCTCAGAGCACCATGGCTGCCCACACACTCTACCTGCCCCGAAGAGAAATCTTATCTGTGCTTCCTCTGCCTCCGACACCCCCTGAAAGCCTGTCCCCACACTGGCCCAAGCTCAACACAAATTACATGTCTCATTGCTCTGCGTTTACAGCTACTTTAAAGCCTGCCGCTCCTGTCCCCTACATAAGCCCTCAGCCAGACTCCGTTTCAGCCTGGCTGAAAAAAAAAAAAAGACCTGCATGAGCTGAGCTGCTACTTGTGCTTTTGATTCATTATTAATCTCTTTTTTTTTGTATTTTAATTGAGGAAGTAATGCAGATTAATTTCACTGCCCTTGATTTCACCCAGAAAAAGAACATCTCTATCAGAGTAAAGACTATTAAAGGTTCTGTAGAGGCTCCCATCTGTTTTTTAAAAAAATAATCATTTTAATTTATTGTCTTAATATTATTATAGCCCATACTTGCACATACCCACACACGTGAAATATGTCCTTTTTCCGTCTCGTGCGCATTCATGCACAGAGACAGCCACACACATCCATATACACAAACACACAGACAAACCCTGCAGCCTGAAGTCAGTCTTGTTAAATTCTTTCAGTATATGTTCACGTAATCTGGCATCCGTCCACAGCCCCCATGACTGACCCTCATAATGTTGGCTGGCGCTCTTCTCGCTTTGTTTAGCTTTCCAAGTGGAGTGCAACTGAAGAGAAGTAGTGAAGATACAGCCAAGATTAAATCTTCCGTGTTTTTGGATGGTACATAAAACTTAAAAATAAGGGTATTTTTGAAATGTACCATGTTAAAAAAAACAGTGGAAAGGGTGTTTTTAGTTTGTTGGTTTTTTCTTTTTTACAGCAACAGTAATTATATCGTATGGTCCCATGTGCTGTGACATTACACTAATTTGGCTCATCAACTGTATTATGTGTGTTATACTGATGTGACGCCTGTATTTATAGCCTGTTGTCTGCTGTGGTGTTTAAGGAGAGCATTTGGCAGCCATTTAGTCTGGTGGTACGTCTGCCAGTCAGTAGTTTGGGTTGGTAGACTGGGCCACCCCCTCCTCTGTTAATCAATTTACAGGATGGTAGAAACTCTTATAGAGGGTGTCTTTGTCCCTTTGTTCCTGCTACGATCCCTTCTCCATCTCCTGGGAGAGTGTGGGTGGTGGGAGCTGCCATGCTTGCTCAGCTTTAAGTTATTTTATTCACACTTTTAATCGCTGAGTGCTTTATTATTAGGTGCTGGATTCTGCTGGCCAGGGGATCTGCATGAGAAGGCGCAGAATGCATTTAGTGGAATCATATTAATGGCACTATAAAACAAATCTGTCAGGCTGTTCTTAACCCTGCTGGCAGAATTGCTCTGCCCAGGGTTGCCCCCTTCTCCAAGCGCTTACAGGTGGCTAAGGAGAGTGCATCTCCATCATCTACTCCACCGTGTGCTAATAGTTTTATTAATTCATTTTTTTTTTTTCTCCCTAGGCACCCTGTGCATAATCATACAGGCATTTTTCAGCTAAAGGGTGTTTGTCAAGGGAGGTTTCCTACATTAGAGACACTCCTCCCAGACATACATACTAACACTTGTTCAATTACAAGTCGTTTGTTATCCACCTCTGTTGTGTGTAAACCTAAATGCTCAGGTATATCATTAATTATTACCCCCATTGCTTGTGTTTGCTGCTTTATGTCCTTTTTGGTTAAATAAATGACTATTTCACCGCTTGAGCAACATATTAGCATTGCTGTGTTTAAAAAAGTTCAAGGTTTTACTTGTCATGCATAATTTGTTGATGGATGAAAAAATATGCAGTCAGGCCCTTTAGACTGAAATTGGAGTCCATCTTTGATGGCAATTAAAATGTGGGTTATTTTTTTACAAATTTACACTTACGCCTGAAAGGTTGCACTTTGTCCAACATGTCCTTTAATCACTCAGCCGCTTGCTAATAAAACATAAACCACTTAGTGGGGGAATTAGTTCTGTCTCCATTTCACAGAAACTCCAGAGAATGTGAGGAGACAAGGGGAAGGTATAGCCCTGCCTCTGCTCATTACTGTGGGATATCTGACGGCAAAGTCTCAGTTTGTGCACCTGAGTGAAGGAATCTGAGAGGTTTTCCCAGTTAAAAAAGCATGTAAATCCTGAACACATGGGCTGACATACCATGAGGGAGGAATTGAGAAGATATTTCTGACAGTTTTGGTTTATACCCTCATTTAAGCACTCAGTTTAGACACAAGGCATTGTATTTCTGTAGGCTTTTATCTTGTCCACTGAGCCAGAACGCGGTGAGCAGAAATTTGCATTAGTGGGCGATTATGAATACCTGTGACAGATTCTCTCTGCCGGCTCCCTGGGCGGAAATGAATTGGCTCCCTCTGTTGACTTGCACAGGAAGACAGAGACCAAGCAATTAGACTTTAGTGGTTAATGTAGCAGCTTTTGCAGGGAGGGCAAGGAGGTTCAACATTCCTGCTGGGCTCATGTCAGTTTCCAGGCACATTTCCCCCACCTTTCTTTTTCCTTTTTTATGAGAATGCTGGGAATATGACAAGCTACCTGTCCACCAGCCAGCTGAATTCCTCTGGGGTGAGGGGAGCGTCGCTTTAGAATCGCCTCATGGGAACTGAGGTGACAACACATGACGTAGGTTATTCATAACAGAGAGGAGATGTACTGCAGCTACCTCTGCACATCATGCATATTCATTGTTTACCTTTTTTTTTTTATCCCCCACCAGCTCTAGTTTGTTGCTGTATGCGTAATTCAAACGAGCTCTCATAAAAACATATTGTTCGTATTGTTCATTTCCTTACATCCTGGTGATCCTGCTGTGCTCCTGCGTGACGCTTCAGCTAACCCACCATCTCCCAGGTCATATGGAGGGATAATAAGCGGTACAGTGGTGAAGCCTAGGGCCACAGTGGTGTCTGCATTACTCATGGTTCACGTTTCTCTAGTGGCCATTTTAACCTAGGCCTGGTGTGGCGGTAGGTAGACTGGCCCCCAGAGCAACATGCACAGACTCTGCATGGTTGCTATGACAGGAGCAGTCTGCTGTTTACAGGCCTGCTATTGAGGCCTGAAGGCCCCAGTGCTTCACATCCTGTCTCGGGCTTAACTCGAACATATTGTTCGTACTCTGACCAGCCTGCAGCTCTTTGAGCCTACACTGCACAGTGCTACCATTGTGTGGGGTCAGAATAGCAGTTATATTTAATGTTTTGAAATAAACTTTGTAAAAATAAATAAATAAATGAAACTTGCTATAGACTACAATAAATCTAACTGTTGCAAAGGATGCATTAATTATAGAAAATATTCTATATAAAGTATGAGGAAAAATTTATAGTGTGAAAGTGTTTGGTAAATAAAAGTAGACCATATGTCGGGTGTATTTGCGCATAATCACACTATAATAGATTTTAAGATTCAACTTGCTGTTGGGGACATTTTATTTCATCCCTGTCAACCTGCTGGTGTGATCCTCCTCACACATTCCTGATAATTTCAGTTGGAAACAGACTCATTAGGTTGTCACTAAATGGGTTTAAATGCAGCCGTCCAATTAGTGCTCTGCTGTGAAATGCAGTGGGTGTTGTGCAACGTGCTTAGCACCACTCCTTTACAGAATTATGAGGGATTACTCATTCAGTGTGATCCATCTTATTTCTACCAGGGGTCTTGGCTTTTCTCAGTATCATCACCACGGAGGGGGTAAATGTTGCAAATGCTTCTCCAGTTGCCATATGTGCCTCGTCAGAGAGCCTCACTGTCTCCGAATCTAAGAGGATTTGATGTGCTAGTTAAAAGACAGCATACCATGCCTATCCATGTCATACTTTCTTTTGAGCAGTAAGGCTCTCTGCCAGCACAGTATTATTGGTATATATAAATAGGATTTCAAGATATTAAAAGTTGTCCCTGAATGTCTGTTACTTTCAAACCACCGAGAGTAAAATCTGTTGCCATTGCCTGTAAATCTCAGAGGCTTTACATGCTTGCTTTTCATGAGATTTAGGACGTGGTTAAATCCGTCGTATATTTTGTTTTTGGGAACAGGCCTGCTGAGATTTGAAAGCTGGGTGACGGTGCTATAGTGTGATGTGCTTTGCGTTATACTGTCATGTCCTGTCTCCTCAGATCTTCCTTGTGTCGGTGTGGCACTGGGAGCTCTTCATGCTGCCCCTCTTCCTGCTTCTGCTCGTCAGCTGGAACTACTTCCAGCTCGCTGCAGGGAAGGCCAGCTCCAACCAGGACCTGGTGAGTGACGAGGACTCTGAACTCTTCAATGTTCATCCGTATACGTCTGTAGATGCATGCTGTTATGCATAGTGCAAATTCAATCTATATGTTAACCTACCTATGGTGATACCTTGATCGAATGAAATCCTTTTCACACACATTGGGCAAACTGCATTTTTACAGTAATAACAATTAACAACTCTTACACCTGCATATAATACAGGAGCATTCTATGTGTTTTATAGCTGGTTAGACTAGTTTCTATAGTGTCTCCAGGGGCTCAATAAAACACCAAGCAGTAGGAAGCCACTGAAGTTAAATCACTGTAAATGTATATAAAGCCTGTAGTCTGTTGATATAGTCTCACCACATCTGAAAAGGCAAGACTATAGTTCTTTCCACCGTATACCACTATCTCCTCTCCATCTACTGTTATGGAAATTATGTTTGCCCTACACATGTCTGTGAAGGTTAATGCTGTTCACACTTCTGACTGCCCCCCAATTTCACTGTGTTGTAAGCCTTCTCACTGGCCAGCCAGGGGCCTGGCCTGTTCACACACCCTCCCCAAAGCAACATCCCCGGCCCAGTGATTGTGTTTATGGCTGCTGGAAAAGATGCCGTCCCTAGGCAATGTTAAAGCCCAGACTCACCCTCATATCCAGTGTGGAGACTCTGTCACCCCTCTGTGACCCTCTAGCTGGCAATGACACAGCTCTGTTCCCAGGCAATGTCACAGTGTGCACCACAGTGGGGTCAGGGATGACTTGATATAAAGTGATCTAGGCAACAGCATCCAAATTAAATGTGTTTTTTTCCCTTTCCTCTTTCTGTTTTTCTGTGTGCTTATGTTGTGGAGAAATGAGATTGCTTTGGTGTGACAGTGCTCTTGTGAAGAAGGCCCTCTTTCACCTCTGCTTTTGTGTGAGGTCACCCCTGTGATGCAGTCTCTATGGAAACAAGCCTCTCCCAATAGGGGTGAATGTACTCAAAGAAAATTTCATTACTAGGTGTTTGTTAAAAATGCTCCAGTGCCCACATGTCCCGTTCGTTTGAAATCACCCTCTACCCTTTATTTTCTCTTAGGTGAACATGAGCATGGGTGACGACGAAGAGGAAGACGAGAAGGTATTTTATCTTGTCTCTTTCTAACATTTTAAGGGATAATATGTTCTGGTGGAACGTTATCGCTTCTCAGGCTTCACTATAAATATAAATATATCTTTTAAGCTTTGCGATAAACACTGGCTGTTTTAACATCTCGCTGTGACATTACTCAATGGTTTTTGGACTTACCAGATGTGTGAACCCTGCTAATATTCCTTTCTGAATAACCAAGGTTAAATTAAACACATGACAATGTCTGCATGCTGCTGGATACTACAAATTCCTAGTTCAGCAAATAGCTGCGATTCTTATACAAATGAACACATGTTTCTTTGAAAAGAGAAAATATTCTACCAAAGAGCTATGCAGGTCCTAGTCAGTATTTTAGCATAGTCCCAGTGACAGTTTCTTCTCACAAGCTCTTTTCTAACTAAGAATAGAAATATTTTTCATGCATCCCAAATGAGGGCAACATCTTTGAAACAGTTGTAGCATGTAGCTCTTTATTCTGATCCTTTGGGTATTGAGTGTCACTCTGCAAATGCACTCCGCTGAGATACCGCAGCCCTTTGAAAATCTATAAATCAAATTTAAACAGCATCATCAATTAGAATTTGCACAGCTGTTGGGGATGGATTTTTTTTTTTGTGCCATCATTGTCTAAATGGAATAGTTATGTTGAGAATGACCTTTTACTAGCAGAACAAAGTACAAAGTACAATACTACAACAGTAAACTAATACTCTGCCCCAAAGGTTATCAGTCATTTTCACTTGCACGTTTGTGAGAAATCATAAATGATAATGTTTATTAATACATCTCTCTGGTGTCTCTTGAAAAACAAAAACAACAGGAAATCTTTAAGTAGCCTGAAAATTATACTTCCCCACAGCAAATAATATTCAATTACACTCATCCCACTGTTTTCTGTAAAGAAGGAAGAGTTAACAGGGATGTGTATTATTGCTTTATGGCAATGAAGTGTGGAACTAACACAAAGCCTCCAAGCAATGACCCTTGTGCTGCGTGTCTAGGCCCAGGATTCATATCCATAATGCGCTCAATATATTCTGTTGTGGTGACCTGGGGCTATGAAAAAAAGCCAGCTTCTTTTAAAAACACAGGCACATCCACCAAATCCTGTCTGAAAGGATGGGCTAATTCACAGATGAAACTCGCATGATATGTCTGCACACACAAAGTGGGAAGCTGCACTTGCTATCACTGCTAGGAAAACTGTAAACTGGTGTTTAAACAAACAACAGTGATACTGAAAATTCACACTCACAATCACATTAAATCGAATGTCAGTGTTTCATTTGTCTTTACCTTAAAATCTCAATGTATAATATAGGGATGTTTGCTTTTTTGAGTTTAAGTAAGGCCAGTGTCTTTAGAGAGGTTTAAGATTCTCTCAGTATGCTGCATGTGTTTCCGAACTCTGCCTTCGCCTCTTTAAGCTTTTTGAAAGGTTTTCCATGAGGCTCCTAAGCCCTTTCACACTCAGAGGAAATGAAATATCTCCTTTCATTTACTAATTAAGCACTCACCCATGTTTGTTTTAAGCTGTCAGCTTTAATTTAAAGTGGCTTATTTGAAAGTCTTGTTATGGTCTTGCTGTCACTTGAATGTGATATCATGCAGTTAGATCAAGCAGTGTAGCTTTACACCTCCTATCAAAGTCTTCTTTAAAAATATTTGGGGTTAAAGAGTGATCAGTGTTAAATTTGATGACTTCAAAGACTTTGCTTTTTTTCCCCCTCGTCTCTCCTCTAACATGTGAATAAAGGCTTTTTCCTCTGAGAAGGTTATGATTACCACTCAAATATGTTTTTATCCCCCTTTTTTTCCCCTTGAGGAAGGAAATATGTAAACCTCAGACAGAGCAGCGAGAATGTGAAGGCATGACGTTAAAGAGAGACGAAAGGCAAGGCAGTGTTACAGCAGGATAATACAGAACAGATTCTCTGCCTGTGAACAAATCTGTCCTCGGGGAAAGAGACAGCTTACAAATTATGTGTGGGCAAAGTGACTTCCCTTTGGCCTTAGGTATCAATTGTGCAGATAGACAATATTTAATCATAACATAAAGAAACAGAGAGGCAAAGCAAGTCCATAGATCTCCAATAGAAATGAGCATGGAAGATGAAACAGCCCTCTCATTGCCCCCTGGCTGGCAGTGCTGGTCTGGGGTTGACTTGCTCCTAGAGCCCAGCCCATAGGGAGCTCGGGGGGAGGGTGAGGAGATGGTTGGGGGTGCTAGACCGGGCTGGGGGGGGGGGGGGGGGGGGGGGTTACTCCGTCTCTCACCCGATACTCCACAGTCACCGCTGGGTCTCCTTGAGCACACCAGTCAGACAGACTGCTCGTGTCATGATCGGAGATGAGCATTATGGGAGCCACCGCACACGGACCCTACAACACATTAAAGCCTAAAGAGAGCTTTTCTTGTGCGTTTTATCTCTGCAAATTGTTTGTTAGCTCATTTTAGCTCCATATGAGATAATTTGCAAGGAACACAGGTGTTTTTCATTTAAATGCACTTCTTATCTTTGTCAGAAAAGTCACTAGAAAAATATTCAGTCTGAGAATTCAAATTTGGCACCGTTTATTCTAATTAAAATGATGCTAAATGAGCTTTTTCCAGTCTTTGAAAACACCCCACATGTCTGGGAGAGCATGTTTACCTTTGTGCAGGAGATCAAATTGGTTCTCCATTACTGCACCTTAAAAGGAAGCTTTTACAATTTTATCTGAAATGAGAATATGATTTCACACAGGTTTTCTAATCAGTAGACATTTAGGATTCATTTAGTCTGTCCCTAGTTTACCCATCTTTTTCCATTTCAGAAGAAGATCTTTTATTTATTTTTGTTTTCTCTGCGCTCATGTACATGCTGAAAAGAGAAATGAACAAAGATAAAGAATATCATCAAATGATTAATGTAGGGAGGACTTCGGTTTTGGTCGCTAAGGAGATGGAGGATTTCAAGAATCTTAAAGCAGATGAATAATGATAATCACGAGAGCTCTGTCTCTTGATGCATACTTCAGAGTACATCTATTTGTCTGTTTTTCCTTTTAGAAATGAAAGCCAATATAGCTTCTCTTTTTCCTGCCGGAGCTGTATTTCTGGCTAAATTTACCTTGCATCTGTATCCACTGCAGTTAATAATGCTTCATATCTCTTATTAAGTTTGAATTCGAAAACATGTAATTGGGTCACTTAAACAATTTTAAATGGAAATATGAAAAGGAATATGAGCTTAAATGATGAGGCTTAATGCGTGGCTCTGTGGGGCCATCAGGAGCTCGTGGACACAGATTGTAATGGCTTTTAGCAGACTCTAACAGTGCTTCCTGCCTTTAAAATAAACTTAGAGTAAAGAGTTCGATTAACACCTGATGTGGAGTAAAGAACACGCATGAAGGTTTGCTCGGCCCCCCAATGCAGTGGAGCAGAGAAGGATGATGCGTACACACAGATAGTCCTCTTTCCCCACGATGAGACCATGAGATGTTAATCTCAAAGAAAGCATATTTGTGATAGTTCTTCCTTTTTTGGACAGTGCTGAGCCTCCAGTGTCTGTCCAGATCCGAGCCCAGTGGGGGAGGCTCTGCTAGTGTGGGAATTGCTCTCTTCCTGCGCCTTTTGTGGAGGAGAGCGGGCCTGACAGTGGGGAGTCTCTCTGTGCTGGCAGACAGTGTGTTCCCAGGGGCTGCCTCATGAAGCTCTGATAAAGGCATTCTGTCTGGACCCTGTCAATGCACACAGGCTGCGGCTTTGGCTGACTTGTAACATAAACATATAGACATCCTCAAGCCTCCTGTTAGGGTCCACCAGAGCCCCCCCCCAACACTCTCATTCCCCCGTCTCACTCTTCCTCTCCCACCCTCCTCTCTGTCATCATTCCTGTCATTATTTCCTCCTTTTGATGTGAGGCTTCTCAGCCTTCTTTAGCTTGTGTTACTCATGTTATCTCTAGTCACTCCTCTGCCTCTGGAAGGCTTCACACTCGTTATTTCTAGTCTTGATGTGATCACTTTTTTTTTTTAGACAAACCAACCCTCCAACCCCCTCACATGTTGACTTATTGCTTTGCCAGACTCAGTCATTACTATCTTAGTGCATTAAAAGCAAATAATACGTTATGTGCAGTGATGGTTGTGACAAGATTCATGCGAGTGAAAGAGGGAACAGGAACACATCGGACTGGTGTCCTAAGCCAAGATGCAGTGTTTTTCTCATGCAGGGAAAGTGTTACAAAGCCAGACCTGACAGATTTGTAAAAACATGTTCAAACTTGTCCTGTGCAGGCTGCTGGAATGGAATCTCTCCTAAGTTGTGAGGCCCCGGCACTTCTTGTCTGGGTCGTCTAGTCTGCCTGATTGCGGATGGCCATTTTGTGTACTTTTCATCTACCAGAGAGTCTTGATTGTGCTGCACTTGTGCAACAGCTCTATTGTGTGTGGCAGACAAAAGCTGAAATCTCTCACCCATCCACATAACAGCCTCTGAGCACTGAGTCTGTCTCATCTTCAAAAGCATAGTCTGAAGATGTACAGTGTTTGCTCATTATGGGCCATTCAATAGATAAATCACACATAATAGCATAGCAGAGATAAACTGGTCTTTGTCTACCCTGCCCAACAATTGACATACAGTGTACCTCATCAGTGTCTGTACATTTTTTTGTTTCTTTATTTAGGAGAGCGGAAAAAAAGGTTTGATGGACAAGATACATATGGTGCAGGAAGTGGTGCTGGTTGTCCAGAATGTTTTGGAAGAACTTGCAAACATTGGAGAACGAATCAAGAAGTAATTCAACCATTTAAATTTTAATTTGTTCTACAGTATTAACCTCATCAGTTTATTTGAAATATAATATTTTTTAATAGAACTTAACGTTAATCTCGCCATTGTTCTTTTACAGCATCTTCAACTGGTCTGTCCCCTTCTTGTCATGCCTGGCCTGCTCGGTGCTGTTTGTGTCCACAGTGCTGTTATATTTCATCCCACTGCGGTATATTGTGCTGATATGGGGTAAGTTCTACATCTAAAAATACAATTTAATTCATAAAATTGTTATTGAAAAAATCATTTTTGCATATTAAAAGTGTAGTGGGAAAATACCAAAAGCTAACAAACCTCCACTGTCTTTTTTTTTGCTAGAGTCTATTACTACGAGCAGAATATCCTATCACATAGTACAAAAACCAATGCCCATACCACTGTTGTAAAACATAACTCTTATTCACTCTTCCTAACTGCATATCCAGGATTTAATGAAGTACAGTAATTTAAGAACTCTGCCATCCCTACACCTCTGCAGATGCACAGAGATCAGACAGCTGTAGAGGTTTGCTTTGCTCAGTGTGGGCTGATGTAGCAGAGCCCAGCAGAGGCAAGGCCTAGGGTTTGTGTGAAAACAAAGCAGAGGTAGAGTAGCAAGCTGTATATAATACATGATGTCCTTGGGCAGTCTGTAGGCTCCTGGTCTAGCCTCTCATTATCTGCTGTAGTCATACAGAATAGACAGTCATCTCAGTGGTCAGGGAGATATGCTGCCCTTAACAGGCTCTCCTCCTCCAGCTGTAAGCCCACAACCACAGTACTTCCACACTGCCTTCAACACAATCAATACCAAAAAACCATCATATCAAACAAAAAACACACAGTCTGAGACACTCCTCTGCCTCCCCAGTTAACCTCCATCTCTGTGGTTGCAAGGCAGGCCTTTCAAGTTGCTTGCACATATTTAAGTCCTTAGGTTCTTTGTCTGCATGTTGAGGTACAGGCAGTACCGAGCTGTGAATATAATGGTCCCATTACAAGACCCCAGAGATATTTCTCTCTCTGTGGTACGTAGCCATGTGCAAAGTAAATATAGATGTGCTAGAAATGATCAGATGGAAGCAAACACAAGTCAGTAAAACTTGTGATGAAAGTGTGCCTGTTGTTAAAATTAGGGTAACAAATTCATTAAGTATTGCTTTATCCATACTTGTCACCATTTTATTGGATCATGCTTTAATTCACTTTGTCTGAGGGGGATCAACTGAAACAGCATCATGTAATGCAGTTTCTGACATATCGGTGGGATCTCCATTCTGTACATACAGTAGACAGGGTTACACAACTCTTTATTATTATTGATAGTTTTTAGACTGCACAATAATGTAAAAATATGCCAGTTGCTGTGACACCTTTATTTATTAATGTGTTCTTGTTTTCACAGGCGTTAACAAATTTACCAAGAAGCTGCGCAACCCATATACTATTGACAGTAATGAAATACTGGATTTCCTCAAGAGGGTGCCTTCTGATGTTGAAAAGGTAAGGGTCCAGTTTTACATACAGATAGGGAGGGAATTCCCTGAAGATGTCTGCATTATTTGCTGTACCAGAATTCCCAAGTGTTGCGGAAATATATCCTCTGGCTTTGTTTGATTATTAATGGACTCTCGCCTTTAAAGCAGCCCTGGCCCAATTATTCCTCAGTGCAGCTCCATGTAGTCGCCGTAGTGCATGAGTGAGGAGATGTTCAGATCTGTCCTCAGCCATATTGCTGCAGCCTCGTCCGTTATTAGCAATTTTGTCCTGTCTGATTGAAGCGCTGTGACATTAAAGCTGGTGATTGGCCGAGGGCTGGCAGAGGGCTCCTGACGTCTCTGGCTGTTGTGTCAGCACAGAGACTCTGATGTGGCCTCAGTCACTTCAGGGTGGTAGAGTCAATTAATGTAGTCGTGAGCCCCAGTCGTCTTGCTGGGTGCCATATGTGATTACATATTAGCCACGGCTGATATGTCATTTGCATTTACATCACAGAGCTGAGGAGAGCTGTCAGGGTTTTGTAAGTGGTGCTGGGTGCTCGCCGTTCTCTCACTGAGATTTTTGCTCGGCCAGGAAATGAAGTGCCACACAGTGCCTTCATCTCGCAGGTAACTCGCCAGACAGAATTCAGTGAGAAATCCTGACAGTCTGGATCTGGAAAGACACTCTCACCCCAGTCTGTTTCTCTGCTGCACCCTTGATGTCCTCCTGCAGCAAGCCATTGCTGACTTCTCTGTGATGTTGGAGGGAGCCTGTGTTGTTTGAGATTTGGCTGACTGAGTTGGCAAAACAAGGTGGTGAATACATTTTGATTCCGAATCCTTTGTATGTCTTCTTCCCCATTGGGATACAATGTTTGAGCTTTGAAAATGTCTCACTTTCAAATCCCATGGAAACAATACTTTTTAGCCTGGTTTAAAAGAGAAACTACATCTTGAAAATAGCTCCAATCATAAAAAACAAAACACCCTTAAGATTCATCATAAGTACGTTTCATTATGTACTGTGAAAAATAACCTTAACATCATATACACAGGAGACCCAAAACAATAGACCACATATTTTGTTTTTGTTGACTTAGAACTTCAATCCTCAGATAGGTGTGGACACAAAAACACCACAAAGGCTGAAAATTGACTCCTGTCTTTCTTGCAAATGTGACTTGGCAATTAGTGCCTGTGCACATCTACAAAGTCTGCCTCAAACGGGGACTTCTGACAACGCTGTGTCTGTCCCGAAATAAGAAGCATCTGTCAGTTCTGAGGACAGTTTCATGTTCTGATGCAGGAGGCAGTCACTTTGTTCCCACATTCCATCTCCCATTCTAATAATGGAGACCAGCTAATTAGCATAGAGTTCTTACCTTTATTCAACAGATTCACCGTATTGTTTGAGCTCAGCAAGCATGCTTCAAAAGCAAGTTTTCAAATTCCAGCTCTTCTCCTTTTCAGTTTACCCTATGATCAGTCTTCTTTAAATTATGGTGGCAATTTTGAAAAAAAAAAAAGAAAACAGGCCACCGAATTTTTTAATGTCAAAGAGAACATAATTTTACAACATGAATTTATTTTGTAAATCCTTTTGAACGTCATGGAATTTCTGAAAGAAAGACTGAAACGAGGGAATCAATATTGAGCTTAATTCTACATATGTAACGGGCAGGAAAAAAAACAAGGTTGTAAGTTCAAATGTCACACTTCAGCCCTTGTTTTTGCCTGAAGAAATCAGTCACACCAAGGGTCTAGAAAGCCGTGAAGAAAGTTACACATCAGCCGATGTTGGTAACTTCTCAACTTAAACAACACTCACTTTATACTACTCTCAGGCTTTAACAAAGTTTTCTTCAGAGGACATAACTTACAGTGAGTGATTATGCAGTTTGTAGCTCCCTCACTGGCCTGGCAGGTCATCTCAACAGTTGATGTCTGTTTCTAATATTGTGATTGTGGTGCAGAATGAGGGGGGCGTACACTGGTACGGAACCCTTGACTCTTCAAATCCTTCCTCCCTGTGATTAATCCCCTCTGCTCCTGTGTTTAAAAAATGATTCATTACAGGCGAGCCCGCCTCGCTTTCCCCTGCACCAGCTCTCCTCAGGGGAGCCATTACCGTGCGCTCCACTGAGCTCGGATTACCTGCCTCTGACCAAACTCATGTTTGTTTTTACAGGTGCAGTACAGCGCGCTGAGAGCGCCCACCAGCCAGAGTCAGCCACGGAAGAAAAGGTAGGCTCCGCGGACACACTGGATGAAAGGCTGGTCTCCTTTTGAATATGGTACGACGCAGTCTACCTGACAACAATGCTCCAGCACTAGCAGAGCCCATAACCCCGTCCACCCCACCATATCACCCTAACTCTGCCCCCTGCTGCTGAGGGGCAGCCAGCCGCTCTCTGGCTTGTGTGTTTGCCACTCCCCTGACAGGGGCTGTGAACTGCAGCAGCTAGGAGGGCAGCACATGGTGCTGTCAATCACAAGCCGGGAGGTAAAGAAAAGAGAGCGCTGTAAGGCTCAGCCTTCATCTTTGGATATAATTTAGAAAAGGAATGAAAAGCGTGGGGTTTGGTTTACCTTAGACTTCCATTGTTTTGCCTTTTTTGACTTTGGTGAAACTGAGAAATTTGCCTTAAGGTAACATTAATACAAGCATAACAATTTATGGAAAACAAACCACACTGATATTTTTTCTTTATCCATGTGTTAATATAATTAAAGGTTAAAAGGTCATATATCTTGCAGATATTGAAGTAATCAGGGAGAATTAAATTGTTTTGTTGCACATTTAATATATTAGGACAGAGACTGAATTCTACTGTCCTTGTTGTGGTAAGGATTTATTTTATATAACATATATGCTGTCAGCCTTCTACATTTGATCTTAGCAACAAATATATATTTATATACTTATGTGTATTATCTCTGGCAGACTTAATTTTTTAAGTAAAGTTTCTATGATTTTATGTCATGTTAGATTGATTTGAGAGTTTATTTTTACTCAGTATCATGTCTGCATCATCAAATTGAACATTTGCAGGAATCCTGAATAAAGAATCTTGATCAGTTTGAGCTCTTGTTTTTGCCTGTGTTTTTGCAATAACTGCACTCTAGTGAGGATGGATTACACCACTTCTTTACTTGAATACACAGTAAACACATCTGATTACACAACACAGCCATTGGAACAGAGCTCACACACCGGCCACCGCTGCGCCTTGGTTACCGAGCTCACATCAAAGCTGTGTGGCTCCAGTGTGCTTCCTAATGCATTGCTTTGTTGCCTTCTCACAATAACAGGGTCCAGATGAGAGAGAAAGAGCTCATCTCACAGAGAGTACTCTCTCCATCCTCAGCACTTTGTGCTTTACATTTACACTAAAATCACCTGGCCTATCTAATGGCTACACACACATACTCTGGTTTTTCCATCTGTCCCCCCACAATAGCTTTTCCATGTAGAGGGATATAGTATATCCCCTATCAATTTTCTCAACCATATTTAGTGTACACAGAAAAAATAATCAGTTATTGACATATTTACCAGATATTTTTAATCATATTGCATCTATTCAATAGTTCAGCTCATCTTGTTTCCATGAAAAAAATGAGTTTCCTCCTTTACCTACCATCTGTCTTCTAGTAGACAAATGGTGTGTAGGCTACTGCTTTTTTAAATATACATAGTTAGAACTGAAGTTGGGCTGAACAGAGGCTTGGACCCCAGCAATGGGAGTTTGTTCTAACTGACTGGGGGACTGAGCATCACCCCCCCCCCCCCCCNTACCTACCATCTGTCTTCTAGTAGACAAATGGTGTGTAGGCTACTGCTTTTTTAAATATACATAGTTAGAACTGAAGTTGGGCTGAACAGAGGCTTGGACCCCAGCAATGGGAGTTTGTTCTAACTGACTGGGGGACTGAGCATCACGCCCCCCCCCCCCCCCCCCCCCCCCCCCTCAGCAGTAGCACGCTGGTGAAAGAGCATCCATCTGTGCTTTGTGAAGAGTTTGATTGGCTCAGGGGGACCTGGTGGAGCCCCGGGCTATCTCTTTTGACAGGCTGATAGAGACATCACTGGGCTCTCCCAGGAGCTGCCACCAGGGGTCCATTTCAAAGTGAGAGGGTGTGGAGGTGACCCTGAGCTTCTGACGAGCTAAATCCCACACACTGGCTGAAACCCTCCTACATTCTTGGCTCCATTGGGGGTGAGGAGGGTGGGGTGGGGTGCTGGTTTTGGCTGTTCTGGGAGGAGGGCAGAGCTAAGGAAGGGGGCTGGGGGGTGGGGGTGGAGGGTACAAGCAGATCACTGGCAAGACCCGATGAAGTGTCCCCAAGAGGTGAAACCAATTAAGCTATACTCCCAGGGTACTTTTAATCGACATTTCAGCAAACAACCAAACTGCCGCACCAGGACATCTAAATCTCTGACAGAACATGTAAGGATAAGATCCTGACAATTAGCGGGCACGTAGAGCCCAGTTAAACCAAAATACTCACTTTGGTGAATAGCAGTTTTTAAGTTGAAATAATTTTGTGTCATGGGGACATATATTATTGAGGAAAATGCTGGCAGTGACATTACGAAGGGTCATATGGGACTACGGTTGCCTGCCTCCAAGCTGTCAAATCTTTGAATCTGTGGCACTGAGGTTGTGGACTTGGATGTTCCCTGTATCATTCATAGTCAATGGATCATAGAGAAGAGTCTGACAGGGTTACAACAATTGTTGATTTGGCGCTGCATGCACCAGTGCACACTTGTGTTACCCACTCATACACACATACACACAAACACAAATAAGCCCCTTTTCGAAGAGGTGCAATCATATTTAAAGAATTATTTGTCAGTGTGTTTTCTCCAGGGAAGGCTACGAATCTCAGTGGAGGAAGTCACTGTGCAATATGGGCCCTGAATGCAGTGGGGAAAATCCCTGGATGTTTTACAAGCTTGCTAATGAACATTTGAGCCACACAGCAGTTAACATTGTCTGATCACATTTTTTCTCCAGTAGTTGTTGTTGTTGTGCATGGTGTGGCAGTGATGTCTTCATCAGGCTGTCAAAAAGGAAGTGCCTGCAGCTGTGGCGGATCCCCCCAGAGCCTGTCACACTCCTTGTTTCCATGGCAGTCCTTCAGGCAGCACCACAGGCAGGCTGTGTGCAAGGACCCATACAACCTGTTTTTTCAGCAGCCGCTCCTCTGATGTTCAGCCCCGGAGCGGGCGTCAAACTACCAAGTGCAGAGAGAGAGAACAGTGCACCCTTTCTCTGTTGCAGTTCTGTGCTGCTTTACAAGGAGATGCATAGCAGAAAAAAAAACCCCTCCTCATTTGAATAAGCCACTATTCTCAGCACCTCCTTAGTAATTGTTACATGTGCAATGCCGTTAAGGTTCTCTGACCTCCTCTCTGAGAGACATAATGCGCACAGTAGGACAAAGTAACAAAAGCACGACTCATAGTTGACTTACATGTGTTAAAGCGCTTATGCACGTGTTATTTGGTCTGCTTGTACCACCTGAGAAGCAGGTCATGGAGATCAGTGGCTGTGCTCCAAGTCCCAACTGGCCTAAATTAAAGGTGCAGAGGTTATGGTCTGCCTCCAGACAGAACCCTGACACCAATAAAGAGCAGGATTTGCCAGGCATCAGCTCAGTGGAAACACAATCTAAATGACAGACCAAGCTGAGTTTGCAACAGTTAACTGACTGTTTTGCCTATATGAGCAAATAAACCTGAGGAGGCTGCATGGGGAGCTTTTAAAATGATGTGGTAGCCTGCTTTTGCTGTTTCTTAACCAGTCGGCACATTGCTTTAGTCTCTCCCGATGATAGAAGATATAAATCATGGTAACCAGGATTGATGTTGTCTCTGGGAATAGGGGTGGGAATATGACTGAGATAACAACAGAGAGAAAAATGGTCGCTAATAGCAGCTGTTTTCAGTAGCTCCAGTTTACTAATAATTCATTTTGCGGGCCACAGTACACGCTGGTGTTAAGACATGGCAAAAGCCATAATTCTTCTCAAGAATGGAAGATGGCCTTTAAGAGCTGAAATTAAATCATTGGCCTTTAAAAGCATCTCTCTAAGGAGCAAGCTGCATTAATAAATTCAACTGATTCTGCTTTAATATTATTCAGAGTGCATTAAAATGAAGACAACAGCTGGGATCATGCCCAGTCTCGGGAGTATTGCTTGGGCCAATGAGAGCCGGCAAGATGCAAAGCATGTCTGAGCGCAACCCTGCGTTGTGGATGAGGCGGGGGACACAAGGTCTCAGTGTTACAGGTGCAGGCCTGACAGGTGCTGTTCCAGGATCAGAGGTTGTTGGGTTCTGACACTGGCTACAGGACAGCTCCTGTCTGCCTCAAAAACAATGTCACATGGGAACAGACACCCGGCCACCCAGCCAATCAGGCCTGCTCCTGCCAGAGTCATGACAGTACTGCTTATGAGAACAAGAACCTTCAAATTCTTTGTTTTTATCGCCACTGTAGGGAATAGTTACGGGCTTACTTTGTTGGAAGAGGGATAAACAGTGGGAGCAAAAAAACTGCACTGTGGCTTTGAAAAAAAGAAAGGAAATAAAGTGTTAAGCTTTCTAACATTTGGTGTTACATCAGTGCTCTATAGTTAGCACGAGCACATGCGTCAGGAAACAATTCAAAGAATAATTGAACTGCATATTTCATTCTAATTAACAGTGATATAACGCAATGTGACTCTCAGCCTCCTGAGGAAAGAGCACCATATTTTGTTTGATGAATCTGCTGAAGCCACAGCAAGTCTCGCCACTAACCCCTGGGGAATCAGGTATCATTAGAGATATGAACAGATCTGCTTTTTGTCTCGCTGAAAGAAGGGGAAAACACATTTCCTCCGTGCTGGCACATGGGTGAATGTGAAAGTGTTCAATATTAATAGCCTTTCATCAAGGACACAATTAGGACACCTCTATTTGACACATTCTATAGGTTCTGAATGAATATGAATATATGGTCCCAAGGAAGGAGCCACTGGCTGAATAACAAAGTGAAATCTCCAGCAAACCCAGCAGAATGAAGAATGCACAACATGACAATCGGGGAGCTGATGTATTTTGATCCAATGTGAATTTAAAAGAAGCAAGAGACTCTTAAGTGTATTATTATTAGCCCATTTTATAATTCATGGCCCAGGGCAAGTTGTATATTTATCCAAATTAGCATACATGCCGCTATACAAACACACAAATGCAGCACACATATTAAAGAGGCCACATTACTTTTATCTGGTGCTCTTGAAGTATTGCTGCTCATACTTTGAAAACTGATAGACACTATTTGCGTGTTTCGGAATTTCTCTTCCTTGCAAGAAAATTAAAAACAACGATTAAACCCCTAACACTGGCGATGGATCAGTCTGAGGTTCACAGAGAGCAAACTTGATTAGTGAGACTTTTGTGGTGCTGACTTCGAACCTAAGGTGTGAAGAGGGCTGTGCCGAAGTGAGGAGACTAATCACATGTGTATCACCCCTGAGCACTGTCTCCTCCAAGCCCTGCCACATTATGACACCAGAGAGTCATGTAGCACATGAAGCACAGTCAGGCCCATTAACTAGAGCGGCTAATTATCGGCTCCTACAAGGTCTTCAAGCTCTCAGGCAAAGCATGCTCTCATTTCTGATTAAAAACATAAATGCATACAGGAAAAAAAAGGATCAATTACAGCGAGGCAGAAAAGATAACAGCCCCGCACCAGAGTAATTAGGCTGGGTGTTTCATCGGAACCGCTTGCTCTGTGATGAAGGTTTAAAGAGTCCAGTGGCAGAAACACCACAACTGTTTGTTTTATTTATGATGCTGCAGTGTCACCCACCGGGGCCCAATTAGCCTGCGACTCATGCCTCGGAAAGCGTCTCTCTTTGACAAGGAAATGAAAGCTCCACTTGCTTATGTCCTTCTGGTGACCTGTGGGCTTCAACCTGTTAAGGGGAGACTGGCCAACAGCAGTGACTTGAACCCCTTCCTCCTCCTTTCTCCCTCCCTCCC